CTGATTTATTGAAGTAGCAGCCAGAATTAGAGGGAAAAGGTGTAGTAAATATTCCAGAATAAAAGTGGAAATTAAGGCTTTAGGTGTGGGAGGATTTAATGACTTCCCTAACCATTTTTTTCCTTTTCCAGGCTGGAAATGCGTCCTTGGGGTGTCAAAGTTTGCCTTATTGAGCCAGGAAACTTCGGCAGTGGTGAGATGTGCATTGTGCCGTGAAGTATTGTAATAGCTAGCAGTTCACTAGTAGGCCTACTATTCAGTGGAAAATTATCTTCAATGGCATTACTGTGATTGTAAAAAAAAAGATCATGTATATTCTATCTAAGTTTGAAACATTTTATAACATGTCAACTACTATACAGACAAATAGAAAAAAATCATTATTGATTTCCAGTTCATAATCCAACCCCTTTTCCTCGTACAGGCACAGAACTGTTCACTCGAGAAGAAGCAATCAAGAATGAGGTTGACAACATGTGGCTTTCCCTGGACGAGGAAATCAAGAGTGACTACGGCGAAGTGGGTCGCAAGAGGGTAGAGACCTTCATGAAGAACATTAGGAACAAAGGGGTTAGTGTTATTTTTTTAAAATCCGTTCTGTGTGCCTGTCTCTGTCTTCCTCCTTCTCCCTGTCCGTTTTGTCTGTCTGCATCTCTCTCTCTCTCTCTCTCTCTCTCTCTCTCTCTCTCTCTCTCTCTCTCTCTCTCTCTCTCTCTCTCTCTCTCTCTCTCTCTCTCTCTTCCTTCCCCCCTACTTCCTGTTCTCCCTCAATTCATATCCCAGACACCACCCTCTCTCCTCTCCAACAGGCCAGCGACATCAGCCCAGTGATAACCGCCTTCACAGAAGCCCTGACGCAGCAACACCCGCAGACGCGCTACGACCCCATGGACCCCATGATGTACTTCACGCTCTTCCTCGGTACGCACTTCCCCGGCTGGGTGTTCGACTCCTACTTCGCCCTGTTGATTCGTTTGTCCAAGAAATGAAGGGAAGGCGAGAGGCATTCGATAAAGCTGGGAAGGAGGAAGTGAGCTCGAGATTCTCGGGCCTATGAGTTTTTTTTTGGAAAGAAATAAACCAATAAAATGTACATCTTTATGGCTGATGTTATCTGTCCTTGTGGGATTCAGTCATGTGGAAATATTTTTGCTACGCTGTAGCCGCATGATTTATTTTGGCAAAAAAAAGGCAGTTGGTGATCAAAGTAAGCTATATCGTAAAGCCAAAACTTATCTATCTTTCTCTGTATCTTCACGTATTCATAAACCCATATACTGCATTTGTATATACATACATATAGACGTATATAATGTGTGACTAAGATACATACTGTTTTCACACACTCACTCACTCACTCATTCACACACACACACACACATATATATATACATATATACACATACATGTGTGCGTGTATATTTATATACACGTATGAATATCTAACTAGATAAGTATAAAAGCTACCGTTCCCGCACAGGGTTTCCGTGTATTCGCACTCTGCCTCCGGTCCGAGGGCGCCGGAATTCAGAAGCTTCAAGATGAACACTCGAAGCGCCTTCACGTGATTCAGGCCGACGTCACGAAGCAGGACCAGCTCGACCGTGCATTGAAGGAGGTCAAGTCGCTGCTTCCGGTGGGAGGTGAATGTGAATTAGGGTCTGGGAAAGGATAAAAGGGAAAAGGAAGATTGGGGAAGACAAATGGAAGAGTGGGAAACGAGGGTAAAATTGGAAAGGTGGAGAGGGACGGGAAAATTAGGGAGGAGGGAGGTTCTGGTACCAGTAATCCCCCCTCCCCCCACAAAAAATGCGGTTCTGTATGAAATTGTCACTGTTGGTAATATTTGTCATAATCATCATCATCACCAATAGTCTCACCGTTACCACTTTAATTAACTCTAGTGCTACTGCTATCAACATCAACATTATAATTAATACTATTGTTATCCCTGCCATTTCACACAGAAGAGGTATGGGTTTGGGGGAAAGATGCCACCATCACACTTATCATTACCAGTGTTTGATCGCCACAATCATTGTTACTAATATTGTTTTTCATATTACCACCATTATCAATATTGCTGCCATCATCACTAAGACACCCCCCCTTGTCCCCCAGAGGTGATATGGGGTCTTGTGAACAACGCCGGCGTGTGCACCCTCGGGCCAGTCGAGTGGCTCAGCAACGAACAATTCCGGAAGGACCCGGAGGTTAACCTCTTTGGGGTCATAGCAGCCACCAAGACCTTCCTGCCCCTGGTGCGTCGCGCTAGAGGTCAGGCTGGGTCATTCCATTTTTTTCAGTAACTTAATTTACTCATCTTTGCGGGTTTTTTTATAGTTGGTGTAATACTCATTTCCTTATCATCATAAGCTTAACGATTTTTTTTCTTTAAAATATTTAATGAATTCCTCATAATGAGGCAATAATGAGATAATTTACCCTCTGGCAGGTCGAATCGTGAACGTGGCGAGCGTGGCAGGAAGAATCTGTGCCCCGCTCATGTCAGCTTACAACGCATCGAAATATGCCGTGGAAGGCTTCAATGATGCGCTCAGGTGAGGTGTTGCTCAGATAAAGGTGGAAATCAGGTGAAATTCAGATGAACGTGAGGTTTAAAGGAAAGTTTGAAGCAAATTTGGAAAGCAGAGGCAAGGGAGTATGGGAGAGGAAAACGAAGGGTAAGTGTGGATGGAATATAGATGAAAGAAGGAATAGAAAAGGAAAGAGATGTTTTTTTTTCGTCCCTCAGGTGAGGAGAAGAAGGGAGGAAGGGGAGAAGAAAGCTGTGATGAGATGAAAGGAGAGAATGGAAGGAATAAGAGAAGAAAGAGCGAATGTGATGAAAAGATGCGAGATAAGGGGAGGGAGGGAAAATAAAGTGAAGTTTAGGTGGAAGGCAAGAACATTTTACGGTGAGATAAAACTGATTTATTGGAGTAGCAGCCAGAATCAGAGGGAAAAGGTGTAGTAAATATTCCAGAATAAAAGTGGAAATTAAGGCTTTACCATGATGTACTTCACGCTCTTCCTCGGTACGCACTTCCCCGGCTGGGTGTTCGACTCCTACTTCGCCCTGTTGATTCGTTTGTCCAAGAAATGAAGGGAAGGCGAGCGGCATTCGATAAAGCTGGGAAGGAGGAAGTGAGCTCGAGATTCTCGGGCCTATGAATTTTTTTTTGGAAAGAAATAAACCAATAAAATGTACATCTTTATGGCTGATGTTATCTGTCCTTGTGGGATTCAGTCATGTGGAAATATTTTTGCTACGCTGTAGCCGCATGATTTATTTTGGCAAAAAAAAGGCAGTTGGTGATCAAAGTAAACTATATCGTAAAGCCAAAACTTATCTATCTTTCTCTATATCTTCACGTATTCAACCCATATACTGCATTTGTATATACATACATATAGACGTATATAATGTGTGACTAAGATACATACTGTTTTCACACACTCACTCACTCACTCATTCACACACACACACACACATACACACGCGCGCGCGTGCATACATAAATAGCGAGAGGGGTGGGGGTGTTAGTGGGAGGGAGATGGTGGGCGAAACATACAAATCAAGGTAGCATGAAACAATAGATCAGACACATTAAGTAATGTCCTTGAGGTTGTGCCGTGAAACTATTTGCCACCACCATATAAAACAGCTTCCATTTCAGTGCTACTGTATGTGAAGGTAAAATGGTGATTCATCAGTAAATAACACATGAAAAAAGTTACTTTGATAACTTCTAAATTCATAAATTTTATGCTGAAGGTCTAATGTTCAATGTCAACTGCAAAAAAATCCATATGAAAATGCCGAAGTGATACCGGATCATAAAATTGCTTCTTTATTCATTGTTCTCCGACTTATTCAACGTGTCGCAGGTTTCTATGTGGACAATGTGTTTATGTAATGCATATACATACACATAAATATATATGTATATGTAAATATAAAGATATATATTAATCATATTATATTATACATATATATATATATATATATATATATATATATATATATATATATGTATATTATATATCTTTCTTTATATATATATATGTGTATATTATATATATATATATATATATATATATATATATATATATATTTATATATATGTATATATATATATACATATATATAAATATATAAAATGTAAAATATATAAAATGTAGTCTCACTTTCAATAAATTTAGTTTTACATTGTATGTATACTACACACACACACACACACACACACACATTGTGTGTGTGTGTGTGTATATATATATACATATATATATGGTTAATGGTTAAAAGCAAGATAAATGTGCTAGATATCTAAGGTCATGTAGCACTATAGTTAATGTTAGTGAAGGGTGGTTGAGTTAGTGATTAGTTGTCTAAGCTGGGCAAAGGTATTGGTGAGTGAAAGGGTTAAAGGTCGGGTGTTAGATTAAAGTATGGACGAGACATAAAGGGAATGTGGGGAAGAGACAAAATGATAATTGGGGATTGGTATTGGAGGATGTGTAAGAAAGGTTTCTTGAAGGCATACAATAGATGGGTTATAAGAGGAAAGGATATGACGAAGGTCAGGTCTGTGGGAGCGGAAACCGCGAATATTCCAATGAAGGATAGTTATACTTTCGTTGATTTAGTGATATAGATTGTAGTACGTGTTGGAGAATTTGAAGGGGAAGCAGCTAGAGGGTGGGATAAGGACTGAGAGGTTTGAGATGGGAGAGGTGTGGGAGTTGGTGTTCTATCAGGAGGGGTATTAGGAGATGGAGGGTCTGAGGAAGGGGATACTTGTGACATAAGGGATTCACGTGTGTATCCAGGAGGGAGTGGAAGGGATAGAGGGGATGGTGGGAGGGTTAATGTGGGCGGGGTTGGGGTCAGGGGGGATGGGCTGTGTTGGGAGGGGGTAGGAGGATAGGGTGTAGGGGGAATATCGTTAGGAGGAGGATGGATATCAGCAATTACTTGGAGTGTGGAAGGAGCAGGAGTTGTAGGTTGAGTGTCAGTTTTCATTAAGTAATCTTGAATATTTTCAATAGTTCCTTCTGTGGAGTTGGTTGGGGAGTTTTGGGGGATAAAAGATTTCTTGTGAGGGGGGGGGGAAGAGAGGACTGGTGTCTCAAGAGTAGGGGCAAAGGATGGTGGGGGTGATTGTGTGGTAGGGGAAGAGGGGGTGGAACGTTTGTTCTGTCTGTTACGGGTAGTGCGAGGAGGGAGAGGGGAAGGTGTTGGGGTTGTAGTGGTGATTGGAGTATCTGTAGTAGAGATTGGAGTGTCTGGATTTAGGATGGCAAAAGAGTTTGACTGGGGAAGGTAGGAGGTAGAAGTGGGGGAGTTAGATGTAGGATGGGTGGGTTTAGGAGAAGTGTTAGAATGAGCAGTATTTCTGGAGTAAGGAGTAAGAGAGAATCCACGTCGACGTGCTTCCTGTCTGGCTTCACGTAGTGTGAGTCCAAGTTTGAATCTGAGAGTTGCTACCTCAGATTCAAATTTGTAGGTGGGACAGCCCCTATAAAATACATTATGGGGGCCGCCACAGTTGGCACATGTGCGTGATTGTGCAGAGCAGTTAGATCGGGTATGGCCAGGTTGGGCACATAGTGGGCATCTGGCTGTGGAACGGCAATGTTTGGCTGGGTGTCCTAGACGCCAACAATTTTGGCACTGACGTGGAGGAGGTTGGTATGGACGAACAGGGAGGGATTCTCCTCCTATGTAGACGTTAAAGGGAAGGTCATGTCTACGGAAGGTAATTTTGAATATGTTAGTGGGTTTCTTACGATGACCTCTGGGAGGAATGGAGTAGCATTGTACTGATGTCGCATCATAGTCTGTGAGACAGGCAAGTAGGTCTTCTCCACAATCTGACCAATCTTTGTCATAGATTGGGCAATTTGCTGGGGAGATTGAGACTGTTCCGGTGCAAGTATTGAGGGTTGGATGGGGTTCTGCAAAGATGGGGTTACCATATAGGTCAGTTAGTTTTGTTAATGCTATAGCTTGGTTTTCGGATGTTACTGTGACAAGACGGGAGCGGTCGGGTCGGCTACGGAAAGAGACTTTACCTACTTGTTTTTGGAGGCATTGTTGGAAGAGAAGGGTGTTGTCAGAGTAGGGAGCTGTGGGAGGGATCACGAAAAATCGGTCCCATTTGGCTGCACTAAAGAGAGTATTCAAGATTGTTTTAGAGATATGGGGTGGTAGAAGGGCGGGGGCGTGACGAAGATGGAATAGTGTTGGGGGAAGTAGTGTTATGGAGAGGTGGGTAATAAGGCTGTAAGGTATTACATATATATATATATATATATATATATATATATATATATATATATATATATATATATATGTATATATATATATATATATATATATATAAATATATATATATAAATATATATACATAAATATATATACATAAATATATATACATAAATATATATATATATATATATATATATATATATATATATATATATATATACATATGCAAAGTAATAAGGCTGTAAGGTATTACATATATATATATATACATATATATATATATATATATATATATATATATATATATATATATATAATATATATATATATAATATATATATATATATATATATATATATATATATATATATATATATATATAATATATATATATATATATATATATAATATATATATACATAATATATATATATATATAATATATATATATAATATATATATATAAAATATATATACATAAATATATATACATAAATATATATACATAAATATATATACATAAATATATATACATAAATATATATACATAAATATATATACATAAATATATATACATAAATATATATACATAAATATATATACATAAATATATATACATAAATATATATACATAAATATATATACATAAATATATATACATAAATATATATACATAAATATATATACATATATATATATATATATATATATATATATATATATATATATATATATATATACTTATGCAAAGAAAGAACAAAAGGATATTGCATGTATTTAAATTTCTGACAAAAATTAAACTCTCCTCACATTACAATACCAAGTATTTCGTAACTGTTATTTCCTTTTTTGTAATGACCCAAGTTCTAATGAAGTTTACATTTATTTTCCTTTCACTCAGTGTTAATAGTTATAAAAGACGTTATGCGTCGCAGCAAATAATGAACAGGTTGGCTGCAAAATATAAAGAACGGCTGGAAAATCCGCACGTTAAGTCAAGGTTTTTAAAGAATATTTTCGGGTTCTAAGTTACCAATTTTGGAAAGCTATACCGTCTTTTAGTGAAAAGAAAATAATTACACATTTTTGTTCTGTACATATTTGCAAAATTTTGAAATAAACATATTGTTCAGGAATATATGAGGGAAATGTCCGATTCCATATATTTTTTTTTATTTGAATCAATGTGACACTTTGTGACACAAACCCCGCTGACTTGCTTCTTTAAATTTACATATATAAATACTGGAAACGTATTAAACGATAACATTCTCTAAAACGACAGCCTCAATAAAAATTGGAGAAATGATAGAGGAACCTTTAGGAAACG